ACTAATCGCAGCCTGCAGGTTCCCATCCGGATCCCGCCCATCAGCGTCTCTGAGCCTCCGCTACAGCACTGCAAGCTCCTCACACTCACAGAGGTCACAGCTATGGGACCCCTGAAGTTTCGGCTCAAAGGCCAATAAAGAGCTCAGTCCCGCTTTTAGGGTGACTCAGGCTGCAGGCCTCACACCTCCAAGGTACCCCTCTGTTCCCTGTCTTTAATGTGTTGCCTCCTTGCTGGTTTCCTCCAGCAGTCCAAAGACATGCCATTAGGTCAAGGGCTGCTTCTAAGCTGAATGCAGTGTCCGGACGGCAGCGCAACCTTTGCCCCGCCTCTAAGCTGAATGCAGTGTCCGGAGGGCGGCGCAGCCTTTGGCCCGCCTCTAAGCTGAATGCAGTGTCCGGAGGGCGGCGCAGCCTTTGGCCCTGCGCTGCCTGGGCTGGACTCCAGGCCTTCCCATCACCTCAGCCAGCACGCCACACGGAACCTCATCAGCAGAATTCCGCACTAGGAAACAAAACAGCCACGGCTGCCGGGATCTCTGAGATGGTCTTCCGGACACCTCTGGGAGGACGTGCAGAGCGGTCCAGAGAGGTGATTACCGGGTTTAAAGGCCAGGGACGATCGGGAACAATACAGATGACAACTGCGTAAAGGTCAACATCCTTGGCAGGAATTTCCCAGGCTTTGATGGGGTGGAATGGGAGTTTGCTCAGATCCAGGGCCATGGCACAGCGTCCGGAACAGCCGGCAGCCAGAGACGACAGTCACACGCAACCTGTGACTGCAAAGAAATAAGCACCGTTTAAAAGACTGTTAAGAATTGATTCCTGTAAAGAGAAATCTATTATTCATGTTCTCCTGCTGTGTTCTTTCCACTGGCTCTGCAATAACTGAAATTGTCCCATAAATTGCCAAACACACACCAATCAGGCCACATGAGTTATGAGTAAACTAGGCCGCAGTACGGTCAGCGTGGGCAGCAGCGAGCGCCGTGCAGCTCTCTAAGCAAGGCGAGGCTGACAGTAGAGCTGCTCATTTACACACACGGGGGCGTCCGCCTGCCAGTACACGCTCCTCGGCCCGCTGGAGGTCGGCCGGTTCCCGCTCTCCAGTCTCGAGTGGCCTCCCTCCCTGCTTCCTGAGCTCCGGCTCGCTGCGGAGGTCCGTCATCCATGAGCTCTTCACAGCACCACGCGCATTAATTAGCAGCAGAAATCGCCGTCAAGAGCCACTCATCCCAAAGAATCCAATTCACACCAGGGGTCCATTCACATCACAGCTGCGTTTTGGTTTGGACCGTGCGTGCCGGCTCTGATGCCTCATGGGAATCCGGGCCGGGTCAAAGCCGGGTCATACTCCTTTTTAAGCAACGCAAGTCACATATCAGTCTTTGCCTGAAACCACAGAAGACTCTGTCCCTTCCAGCATCTCGCTAATCCTGAGCTGTCGTCAAGTAATTATTGGAGCAATGGTGATGAAATGTTACTGTGGGGATGTATAATGCCAATTCTCCCGGAGCTGGTTTGCATAGTACAGCGATAAAGTTAAAATAGTACTCGCTTATCTGGAACAAGGTTTTTCTTTGAGAACACAAAATGCATACAGGAGCAGCTAACATACCTTTCTCAAAGCCGGACAAGTTCAACTTATTTTTTGTCAACTTGGTTAGATGCATATTTTGTTATGCATTTCAGTTACATTATAAATAGATTTTAGAAGCATGAGGCCATTTTTCGCTTCAGAAAAGCGAGTCTGTTAAGCTGCAGACTTGCTGCCCACGATGCCCTCAGGGAAAAGTGACACCGGCTCGGAGCTGACTTCCCTGCCCAGACCCACAGGTCCAGTCCACCTGCAGCCCACAGGTCCAGAGAGCGGCACTCAAAAGCTGGGCCTGGAAGAAGCCCACCTGGAGCAATCAGATGAACATCTCAAACATCTACAGACCAAGGCACCAACAGATTGATCTGCTTGTCCCAGAAATCAAGCCATAATACAGTAGCAGAAAGCAGGGGGCATACGAGGAAAAACACCAACTGTGATTGCACGTTAATTAACCTAACAAGTGTACTAAGGAGTGCAGTGGCAGCAGTCAGAAGGTTCCACTGCACATTAACTGGCTCTGGGTGGGTTGAGCAGCAGTAAAACAAGGCCAGACCTAGGGATTGTCTCCTAGCACTTGAGGGTTATAAGTTTATTTAATTTTGATATAAAAAACAGGAAATTCCTGACTGACTTCTGCAAAACAGACATCGTGTTTGACATGCAGGAAGGAGCCTGAAGCCCATCAACACGAAGCCCAAGTGTGAAGCTCAAAAGCTCACATTGCCTCCCCGTGGAAGGAGGCGCAGATTAAGCTGATCACTGCGCAGTGTCAGTCAGACGACACCTAACTAGAGAAACACTGCTACACTGACGATTCTTCTGGGGACCTCTGCACCTGCCCGATTTCCCACAGATCTTCAGGGAGCTGAGGAACATGGGCCATGCGTCAGGGAGAATGACACTGAAGGCCTGAGAGACTCCAAAAGGCTACGTGCTTCACAGATAACAAACCGACACCAGACTGCAGCCAGGCTTCCTGTCAGCCAGTTTAAATAATCCCGACTGGCAGCATCGCCGGGCCCTAGTGGGTTAAATCACGTAGGGATTAGCGGCGGCACATGATCCCACCCCCAGTGGGTTTCAAAGCCTTCTTGCCATCACTACTGGAATCTCTACCTTGTTACACAGGCTTTATTTTGGTCGTGCTGAATCCTTCCACACGGGGGGAGCAGGCGGGGGGAGGGAAGGGATGAAAGGCGGCTCCCCCAGTACTGCAAGCTTCAGGATGGCCTGGCTGCTGGAGCCAGGCAGCGGGGGGACACCAGGTCGCCACACGTGGGACGCAATGGAAGAAAGGCATCAGCCTGCCCTAGTATGGAAATGTCAGACGTGGCTGGACCACATTGAGCAGATGTCAGGGATCCACGGTCACGGCCTACAGCGCGGGAACAGGAGGAACATCTCAGCAAGCGTTCAGCCCACCGTACAGGCAGCAGGCACCAGGTCATCTGAGGCAAAGCAATTAACACTGTATGCAGCAGAGATTAGGAGCAGAGCGCTAGAAAAATATATCAGTATCCTTAACAAAAAGGCTGGCTCATAAATAGAGTATTTACTGATTTTTCTGCTTCTTTGCCAACCTATATTAGAAGGATAAAAAAATCAATTTTCTTCAGACCTCAAAGAATGAGTAAGAATTAGGCGCTTGGGCTGCTCTCTATAAGCACGATGGCCAGAACTTTAGCTAAGGCTCCTCTGCTGATGAACGCTAATTAAAGGCTGGGAGATTTTCAGCAGGACACGCGGAGCATTGTTGCATTTCGTCTCCGGAAGACGGGGCTCGGTCCAGCAGCAGACTCGGAGCGTAGTGCCACAGCAAATTACAGTTGAGTGCCCACAACCAAGCCAGAACAGAAACAGTTTTTTGGGTGCGAGAGACCAATTACTCACCGGCAAACGGCAGCACGACAAAGCGGATGCATCTGCCAGCCACGTTCCAAGAGCTCCACAGAAGTGGGGGATCATTGACATTCGTGGATTCTATTAAAAATGTACAGAAAGGTATCCCTGACCCAGCGACCGCCAGGCCTCTGCTCTCTATAAAGTGAACTTTAATGAGCTGTAACACTCAGGGGAACAAAAAACACTATTATGAGCGTGAGGAGCCAAACATACACCCTCATGCGCCTCTGAATACTCAGCAAAGCATCCGGCGATTAGACGTAAATGTGAGATGTGCGTCAGAGGCTGCCTACCTTCATTCAAGTCATATTCAAAGCTCATACCTGGGTGATGGACCCCCACCCCCAGCCTCATACACACTTTCATGTCAGCACAGCTTTCTGTTTGCCTTAGACCATTTCAAGCAGATATGGAACAAAACGATGTGCGTCCTTCACGATTTCTGCACTGGCTGCTCGCTGGCATGGGAGGCACCCAGATACCCCAACAGCCGGCCGCTGCCAGCACACAATTCAAGCCAGCGTGTTTATCACACACTGCTGCTCCCGGGTCTGAACAGGGCACCGAAATCACAGAGCCCCCAAAGGAGCCTCCTGGGCACTGGCTCAGCCACTGCACAGCGCTGAAGGTCTTCAACCCAGAGTCCTCACAACAGAGAACACTCAAGCCCTGTGAAACAAGCCTCTCCCACACCCCACAATCAATCCCACCTTCCTCGGCGATTTGATACAGAAGTAGCAGGCAGGAATGGAGCCTGACACGTCTGAATAAGGGTTTGGCCAATTCTTATATTTCACAGAACTATTAAAGTCATAAATTCGACGGGACACGTGGCAACGGCCCCCGTAGCTTAAATCGACAGCACCCACCCAAGACATTCCAAGACATTAGCTATCTTTAAACGTTTTCCCTATATACTTACAAGCATTGGCGTCTTATCATAGAAAAATGAAGCCTACAATTAGCTCAGCGACTGCTCAGTCATGCAGACAAGTAACCTTTAAAATCAAAAAAGCCCCGTACCTCTGTGTGGTATCCCATCGGGCGAATCGCAGATGCTTTCAACAAGCCAATATGAGGCTTGTTGAATATAAGGAGTTGCAGGAGCCCAGCGCAGCGCCCCGCTTCACCTCTATCACACCAGCGCGGCATTAATTGGCTGTCTGATATAACGAAGTTACAGCAAAGGCCGGCAGGCGGCTGACTGATCAGCGGGCATTTTCTTGGGAACTTTCAAAGTAGGTCTGCATAGTCCTCTGCCTTTCCCGCGGATGGGGGTACAGACGTGCCTACTCTAATTTTACTTTTGCCTTCAAATAACTTAAACCAGTCCAACATCTGATTTTAAATGATTTAATATCTTATTCGGATCGATCTAATTTATTTGCACAGCAGTATGGATTTCTCTATTAGGTGCCCGGACGTGCGCGGGAGGTGTGAACCAATATTAGGAATAGCAGGCGGGACAGTCATTCGTGGACGTGCCGGCGTGTTTACCCGGTGATCGATGATGCTGCCGTAGCCCTGCAGGGCAGGAGTGCGCGGGGCTCTCGGGCTCCTGCTATAGGGTACGGTGGGCTTCTGCCTATGCCGGCTGCCGGCGTCATTGTGCTCTTTGCTGGTGCTGATGTTATACACGAACAGTAAGCTGGTGCACATGGTGATCAGGAGAAAGGCAGCCACCCCATGGCGCTGGAGGAGAGAGGGAGGCGGTGAGGCAGCGCTCCGGGCGCCGCCGGGTGCCCACACTGCGGACACGGGCTCCGGGAGCGGCCGGGGGGGGCTGTCCGCTGTCCCGCCCCCGCTGCTGTTTTCACCCGGCGTTTCTCTTTGTTTAAAAGACGATGTCATGCTCCAAGTGTAACGCTTCAACTCAGGAGCGACCACTTAACAAACTAAACGGATTTTAATCATTAATCAAAAATTCGAGTGGAATAAAGACCTCAAAATGGCAATCTGGGACAAGCAGGTGCTTTGTCAGTAATTAAAAAAAAAACAAGTATAACAGAAAACTATATTACAGGTGAGTGACTGGTTGCATCTCACCTAGAAAGCACCACCGTTACTTTCATACACGCACTGCATATAACATTCAAACGTCGCTGGGTCTTAAGCAATATGCGCTCCTCTTTATTAAATACATTTCCGATGCCCTGTAAAACAACACGAACCTTTGAGATACATCTGCATTTAAAAAACCACTACACATTAATAAAAAGCCGCAAGTATTGCGCTCCGTTTTAGAAAGCGGCTCGAAAAGCAGAAAAATAATAATTAACACAAACAAAGGGTTATTAACAAGCTGCACACAAACACTTGTGATACACCTGAATTCGCCAAACGTAAAGACACTAATCCACGCAGGCGAGAATTAATTTGCGAAAGAAAAACAAAAGAAAGCATATTAAATATTTAAGGAAAGTGTCACCGAGATGTTACCATGGGTGTCTTCATTTTGGGAGGCTGTAGACCGAAATGCGCTTGATCAGAGCAGTCTGGAGGCTGACAGAGGCATCGCCGTACAGCGTCCCGCACAGCCGGCTGCCGGGCGAGCCGCACCGCACCGCAGCGCTCAACAGCCGCCGCGTCCGACCTCCGTGAGCGCAGAGCGGGGTGAAGCCTGGCGATCCCCCGGCGACGCGCAGGCTGAGGCGCCGGCAAGCAGAACCTCTGCGGGGTCTTAGAGAGCTCCCGTTTCGCTCCCGGATCAGCGGCGGGGAACAAAAGCCCTCGTTTTCTAAACACAGTCCCCCAGCATATTTGTGTGGTCATATACCACGCAGTAATAATAACGTGTGCGGTGCATCGCGGAAAATAAAGATAAATCTATCCTGCGCATAACCTAACGCAGCCAGAACTGGTGTTTCCATTTTACCACTAGACACTAATCGTTAAACGCAAAATACTACTTCCAAACCAAGTCTGCCCAAGTCATTCATTTCCGAAGTTATATTGTCTTGCAGGTGAATTATTTGGCTAAATTAATTTGCATTAGGTGAGGATGTATAAACTGATGAAGACATTCGAAACAGCGACTGCTGAGGTTGTGAGCCTCTCATCCCTGCTCCAAACTGCACTTATTGTCTTTATCTATCTTAATATGGCTTGAATAGTCTTTGCCAATCATGGGAGAGGGTTATACCTGCTAATTATAAAGCAATTACTTTATAATTACCAAGTGACACAATTACGTCATGGACCTTTGCTGCCAAATAAACAAAAATAACTGTGCAAATGTATTTATCTATTCCTGAAAGCATTACATTAGGCCTAATGTTTTCGATAAAGTATATCGACAGATATGTGCCTCATTGGAAGTGCTGATGTGGTGTAATATGTGTCTGTGTGCAATATAGGCTTTCTTGACTTTAAATGACGTGGATCCATAGGTCTCACATAAATTGTGCCTAATATCAGTTGGGCTACATGTCAACAAAGCAACCAAGAACCTCAGAAATCCCACCTGCACACTCTCCCCCATGTCACATACAGTAGATGGTCAACTGTCCCTTAATTCACTGTATTAAACAGCATTAGGACGGTGCTTATATGTTAAGTGGAACCTTCAGCAGATGTACTGCGTAACTGCATCGTACCTGAAAGCCATTTCACACCCACAGTGCTGTCTGAGCCGGCCCCATGGTATAGATGCTGTCTGAGCCGGCCGCATGGTGTAGATGCTGTCTGAGCCGGCCGCATGGTGTAGATGCTGTCTGAGCCGGCCGCATGGTGTAGATGCTGTCTGAGCCGGCC